GATTGTTTTTATTGCTGCATTGTTTCATGGGCAGCGCCCCCATCCTGAATGGATTCTGTGGATGCAGCCGAGTTGCTCTTGAGTTCTGGCCCTTGTCATCACCTTCTGTTCTTATTTTGTAGCACCTCCAATGTTATCCGCATCAGGAAGTTTTACTCGTATCTGAAGCGCAATTAAAGGACTTGGCAAGGTGCCAAGGAGCCGCACGCGACACGCGCGCTTGCAACGGATGTTATGAAGGACGGGAATCTGCGCCGCAAAAGGTGTAAGGCGGAGCATGGAGGAACTAGCGTGTTTCACGGCCCTGTATCTCCATTCCTGGGCATGTTTGGGCGGGGGACCACGACACATCGACAGCTGGGGGCTGATAGTCTCATACACCCTCAATGTGTCGAACGTACCAATGTGTCTTAAAGATTGAGGTGCGTTTTATTAGCCGAGTTAACTGCGTAGAAAGCTGGGGGGGGGGGGGGGGGGGGGGGGGGGGGGGGGGGGGGGGGGGGGGGGGGGGGGGGGGGGGGGGGGGGGGGGGGTGATGACGAGAAACAAGAGCGCACAAATTTCTTTCCCCACTCGGAGCCTGTACCGTGGTGACGGTACTGCGTAGGAGCCAACTGGGATAGACTGTGTGTGCACTCTCTGCACTCAATATTTTGATTTCAAGCACGAGCGTGAAGGGAATGTATACGCCTTTGTTGTCAAGACATATATTCAACAGTTTTGAAGGCGTTACCATCAGCCCGTAGTAATCAGCGCAATCAGATTCCCCAAAAAAAGTCAAGAATATACCAAAACGAGGAGATTTCGATTTTGGCATCAAAGTTTTGCTTCAGCATTCCGCTGCGGCACACATGAAAATGAACTCCGCAAATGAGGCGGAATTTTACACTGTACGATACAGAACAGAACTGCAGAAGGACTTACATGAAAGGCATGGTGACAAGTTGTTCTGCAAGAGCATTGAACAAATGAACCATCTCTCTGCAGTGAAGGAACAGGCGAAGGCGGCACGCGGAGTGAAGACGACCCGAAGGCAAACCAAGTCTGAAAAGTTCCACAAGTAACTCACACTGTGACCAGAATTTAAACCTCTTAGGGCTTACCCAAACGAAAGAGCTTCCCTCTGTAGTAGAGCACGGTTTGTCTTCTGTGCTAGCACCTCCACGTTTTTCAATATACGCGCAAATACTTTAAGTCTCCATCGAACGAAAGACAACAGAACAAATCCGAAGGCCACGAAAAGAACGACGACTGCGGCAGTAGCGTACAGTTCACCAGCGGCTAAGAGAGCCAAGGCGAGAGCAGCTAAAGAGCCGAGAAAAACCGTAAGCAATCGACGATCATAAGGTTTTGAATCGGCGAAACGCTCGCTACGATGTCCTCCTCGTCAACCTGAAACGGAAAGAGCTATTTTCTGATGGTGAGTTACGTTCGTTGCTTTGATTGCTGCCCTATTAGGATATTTACTCCATTCGACATCTCGTTGATTCATCTGCGACAAGGTCGTGACTACATTCGGTGTGGACGTGATTCTGGCCATGACCAGGTTTTTCAGCTGAGAAAATTGTTAAGAGTGATGGTCACGCCCCCAACTGAGTAATCACTCCTCACTCCGGTACTGGTTATCCTCGGAAAGGCTCCAAGGTGAAGGAAAGAAAGTGGTAAGACAATGTCACTCATGTGGTTCTATCCAGTCCTGGTAACTTTGATTGAGAGAAACAAATCAATGGCCCGCACAATCGACCATTTTCGGGTATAAAGCTCCTAGAATTGTTATCACCAATACCAGTTGGGGAGTGTTCGCGCTGCTTGGGTTTTCGAGCGGTGCCAGTTCTTTTCCCACCACCCATTGGAATGCCCGAACCCACAACGACCGATGAAAAACGGGTTGGTGCTGCGCCAAAATCTACGCAACGCTGACACGCCCCCAGTGACATCATCGATAAAGTGCATCTTCGCAAGAACGCAGACAGGCTCGCGGAAAGGTTCCGAGTAGGCCGGCAGCTCTCCGTTTTCATTTCATATTTTACCCCTTCAGGATGTTCTAGGGAACTAGTTATTCGAAGACAATCTGCTGACTCATCTCCGAGGAGGGCGAGGCGAATAGGTCCGCATTAGCAGCGTGCTAGTTTCCCGGCTCGATAGTGCACGAGAAAGGCAAGGCCAGTGGTATCTGAGTGCGTGTTCATACTGCGCCCGCGCTACCTCCAAGGTGGAACACCTGCGTCGAGGTCTTGCGAAGCATCGAGAACAACAAGAAGTGAGAGGGCGCAGACAAGTAGCGCATTTGGGTACGATTAGGCGTGTGGCTGGCCGTGCGGCTGCGCAAGGCGGAGAAAGGAGTCGGCACCGGCAGTCGCCACTCTACAGCCTCGTTTCGAGCGGAGAAAGTGAGTGGCATGCCAGATGCTTCACCTCACACATGGCAAGAAGTAGGATCCACGAGAGTGAGTGTACAATTTGCCTTTACTATAGAGAGCCCTAATCCCCGAAGAGGGGCACTTCTGTGGTATCACGGGCACGACATGCACTAATTTCACTTTTGAGCACTTCTTTTAGTCAGAGAAACCAAACGGCGGAAACTTTTTTTATAGTTCAAAAATCACCTCTTCAAGCAAGGACTCAGCCATTTCGCTCTGCTTGGAAGATGTACGGAATTGGCAGACCGTCTCTAGCCTCGGCCGACCGGAGGAACCGAGTGACCGGTATAGTACGCAACATCTAGCATATCAAAACATTCTGAAGGGTCGAGAAGATAAAATGAATTGATTGAGAAGGAATTCTTACAAAAACTGTGATTATATAATATAGGTCTCGATTAAAACACGAGGGACAGTCTGTTGTGCAAACAAGTGGCGGCAAGCTATCAGACGCCTTCATTCAGGCACGAAGTCGTATACTGGCTCCGGCTCCAGTCAACCAAAATTGGTTCTCTCATGGTGTTCGATGATCACGCAGGACTGTTAGTACGAAAGCGCTAATAGGCGCTAAGAAGTAGAATGAGTGAAAAGTAACGCCCTCTGAGGGGTTTCTCCCCACGACATCCTCTGAATCCTGCGGGTTTTCCACAGCGTATTACCAGTAGCAAGAGCCATAAGGGCCTTCAGACAAGGCTCATCACCAGCTGCTATACTATGTCAAAACGGCTAAGAGTATCACCCATTTGATGCGACCCGTCCCAAAAAGCGCTAATCACCGCCAAATGGTCACGATTTTTTATTTATTATTATTTTTATTTTTTTAGATAACGCAAATAAGACAGTGTGAGCTAGATCGATAACAAGCGAGGTTTCTCGAGAACAGGAGGGGTGGAACGAAATGTCGGGTGGGGAGACTGGCAAGCCGTGAGCAAGCACTAGTTGCGCCCTAACTTACCCGGCCTGGTCTTTTCAGAATTATGTGATGATTGCATGTAACAAAGGTAGTTCAGGATCGGAGCGCACTCACAGTAATTCTCTAACTTATGGACGACCATTAAAGTCAAGAAGTATTACCCGATGTTCGGAAGCCGTTCGCTGCACAGGGCGGCGTGGGGAGCATGTCTCACGTTCGCGGAAAAACCGAAACCTCATGTCAGCGATATATTAACCCGCGCTCCGCCTCTGAGCTGGATCCCCTTTACCATTTCTTTTACAATCGCTATATACCGATAGGATCTCGATCATTTATATATTCTCTAGCCATACTATGATCTGCTTTCCTTTCACTGAGTTTCTCTGCGCCTGTACAGGGGGGGGGCAAAAGAAACGTCACTATCTCTTACATTGAACTCCGTGGCCGCATAATAAGTTACCTTCATAGATCTAAATCGACATTTCTCCACCCGCCTATATGAAGAGCCATATCAAATACTATTACTTGAACTCCGCCACAGGCCTTTTTGGACGAGCGCATCGAGAGCTTCTGGCGCGCCGACCGACTGAATGTAGTGCCTAAAATCAGCGAGATAGTCGATTTCTTCCAGCCCACGTCAGACCAACGCCTATTGAACTCGTCCAAATCGAGAGACTGAGGAGATTCAGGTAGGTGACCTATCTGGTATACCATCTCTTTAGGTACTACTCAGCCCTCCTCCATTCCCAAGTAGCGAGTAGCTTTCTCAACACCACTATTCAATCCACGTGGTGGCACCCAATGCTGTAGCAGTACAAAGTTTCCAAGAAGGTAGGGGCGGCGAGGAGGGGAGATATTCTTCTCGAGTTGCTCGATGTAACCGCCAGCGCTCAACCGCTAGTCCGGGGTCCACGGAGAAACTATTTTTGGTCTTTCCATTCAGGTACTCGGCCAGTCCATACTATAACCCGCTTTCTTGACGACTGCAGGTGAAGGTGAATGTTCCTAGACACGTAAGCCGACGTTGATCGGAGCTGCTCACGATGTTGGAGGTACTTCAGAACCTGAGAGTACTATTCTCAGCTACCAATGGGCTGACGTCCGTACTAGAAGTTTCAGCTGTTTGGAGGTGACATGAATTCCAAAGGTCTTCTCCAGTCAGGCTGCGACTGGAGATGACTTCATATTTTGGTGTACATGAAGGTGATGGGCGGAGGGCAGCTCCTGCTTATCGGGGAACATCTCAAGAATCTTCTGCCCTGGTACTCGTATCCATATCTTCTCTCTGGGCTGCAAAAACTTTGCTGCTATGTGACTCGGTCGAAGTGACTTTTTTTTTACCCCCCCCCCCCCCTGTATGCTCATATAACGCTCAGTGCCAACAGTGTTCTTATTAAGATTGTTCAGAGGGTTTCATTTATCTTTTTTTGAACAATATCCCGCTTACAAAACGTCGTTAGCCCTAAACAACCTGCAAATGACGATCGCTGCCTTCAAAATTCAGAGCTCCTCTGTCCTCACAAGCGATCCAGGTGAGATATAAGTCAAGTAATCGTCCGAAAGATAACCCGAATCAATTCACGCTTCAGATAACAACCCACCTTTGCTCCACAGCCACAACAAGCTTTGTTCACTCGGTTAGTTTCAAGTTAACTAACACATCTTGGATGTCGGTCGGTTTCCTAACTGCTCTTATACTGCTAACCACAGTGTATGCAAAAGATAATGTGAGTTACTTTTGCAAAGCTATTGAGCGGATTACTGTAATCCGTGAGCTGAACTAACTGTGACCAATTACAGCCCCCAGACAAAGGCTATCGTTCATGTAAAGGGACGGTGTCAATTCCGAAAAGTGGGACCGGCTTGTCGGGCTGGTGCAAAAGCATGAGAATAGTCGTGGGATCCTGCATGAGCAAAAAAGTGAGTTGGCATTCATTGCACGAAGCAGATCACGTACTACAATGGCTCGCACATCACCTACGTTTTGATACCAGAGGCACTTTGATGTTCATCCAAAGGAGTTTTTTTGGTTACGGTATCACAGAGTTGTGAGCGATATCGCAGTTCGTGGCAGCAGTGGTTATAGGAACCTGGGAAACTGGTACTTAACTTGTCATGACATATCATACAGCATGTTCTGACACGCCTGTCCGTGCGATATGCTGCCATATGTCACATCCTAACAAGTACTGATTGCTCCAACTATAACGTCCATGTAACCGTTGCTACCACAAACTACGATAGCGCGGAAACGGGCAAGAGAATCGTAGTTTGCCGCTCCGCCGCGCGCGGCGATGGGCGCGGCGTTTTCTTAACTCGTGTTAACCTGTCGACTGGAGCACCGGACTTCATGTAGACCCCGTCATCGTAGACATTCATGACTATTCGGTTCTGAATTACCTATTGTCGACACCTACTACTTGTATCGTCATTTGCGGGCGCGACGTCGCACGCGACGCCCAGCAGCGCGGCGAATTACGATTCTCTTGTCATATAGCCCGATAGCACCCAGTTGCAATTGCCGTGCAACACGATATAAAATAAATAGAAACCAGAGGCAGTGGCAGAAGCCTGACCGACCAGAGCACAAGTCTTCTGTGAGGGTGAACGTAGCAGCATTCAAAGGATGCCTTGTGCAAAGGATAGCCGCAGTGAAGATGATGAGTTTCAGCGCAGACTTACCACAAAGTAAAGGAGTGCCCTTCTTTCCACTTCATCTCTCATGTGAATGACAAGGAGACCATCATTGTACCATTGTTAGTAACAGCTGAAGACGCGCCATCAAGCGCTATGTGACGTCAGTATCACATCATCTATCCCTTAGCTGGTGACGTACTCAGGGCATTTTGGGTAATGCCCTACTGAGTAGGGATGTATGGTGCAATGGGGAGGGCGTCGTATTTAGCTCTTGGAAAAACTTCGATTGCTGATCCTCACCGTTCCATGCATGCTGTGTGTCTCTCAATGCTCCCCTTAACTGAAAATTATTTCTGACACTTGATCAAAAGTGTTTACCCTCCTCGCCTGGTAGCAAAATCTCGGATAACCTGGGGAAATAAGGGGTAGGTTGTAAGGGTGGGATCACATTCGCACTTGGCTGAGAAACATTCGACAGCCAAAACGACCCAAACGTTGTGGACCGCGTACCAGGGCCACATCAGCGCTGTTCGTCTAATCGAGACAGGACTGGTGGTTCTGCGGATTCTCTGTCCAAAACGCGGACTGTAAACGCGGCCGAGTGACTGGCCCATCAAGTAATGTAACCACTGACAATCAATTCTGACTATACACTCGAAGGTGCTGTGTGTCTCGTGAGGGGGACTACTTATGGTTGAAACCATGAAATGTTTTGACGCGACAATGCCTTGTCATGTCGTTTACGGGTAGGAGGGGGGGGGAGGGAAAAAAGGTAAGAAACTCTACACTAACAGTCCGATTCTGTGGCATATGACATTCACTTCGCGTATGAGAAGCGTTGCACTGGGGCCTTATATCAGAAGAAGAGAAGGCAAGAAAGCTAGGCTTTGTCTCACCCCGATCTCTTCGACATCCCTTTCGGAATCGCGGTCCTATCCTGTTGCGTTTGCTATGCATAGCTTATCAAATGTTCTTACGAGAACTTCATATCAGTGAATGTTCAGCTCAAAATTGACGATGATGGAAGCGTTGCCTCTCGTGGGAACGTTCTGTTGAGCGCATTCAAACAGGATCCAAACCCTGAACTTCTGACGGATGTTAAACTCTACCACTACGGCTGCCTGTACAACAACTGGAGAGACTTCTCCGACCAAGATTGTTATAAGTGAGCAGCCAAGTTCGGAATTAAGTAGAAAAGATACTTTTTTCTTTCATTCAATATTCTATGCTTTCCGCGATTTCTCAAGAATTCGATGCCAGTTGGGGCGGGGCCATTTTCGGTGCAAAACAAAAAAATATGAATCACGCTAGGGGCCAGAAACATACAGTGCGTAACAAAAGTATGTGGACACCTCAAATTTTTGTCCTGCAAAATTGCCTTTGAATTTTGCGATATGAGACCTTTATGTTGAATTCCTCATATAGCGAAAACATAGGAATACGACTATTCGGAGCAGCTTTGTTAACAATGTAGCAATTATTTATTGTTTAAAAAAGTTCTTTATATACAAAAGTATGTTGGATCACCTGAGGAAGTCGCAAAGTTGGCTCAGATCTGGGCAATGCATTTCATGTCTCCTTGTCCCCATCTAACACTGTACTCATGCCTCGGTCGTGGTACTCCTCCGCCTACGAAGACGAACAGCAGCTCGGATTCGAGGCTTTTAGTGGTGCAGGGGCACTCGAATAGAGAAATTGCAAGATAGCTTGGACTTTCGGCGACGTGCGTTGGTATATACCTCCAGAATCCTGATGGCTACCACTCAGTACCTGTTTCGAGGCACCCACGATCTTTGTCCGCAAAAGACATCAGAAGAATGGCCTCAAACTCCCCGCTTTCTGTGGCACAGATCCATGCCGCGATGAATCTACCGGTCTCAAAAGATGACAAAGTGGCGCTCTATTCGATCAAGTGAGCACATCACTCGAAAGACCATGAAGAAAGCTCCCTGTCTGACAGCCAAGCACCAGCTGGCAAGACTGAACTTTGCGCGTGCAAAAATGGCGACGTCGTGGGACAAGGTGCAGTTTCTTGAGATATTTGTAAAATCAGAAAGGCAACATCTTATGCGCATTTCTTTCTTAGGTTATCTTCACTGATAAGAAAATTCAATCTCGACAGTCCAGATGGATATCAGCATTAACGAGAAAGACCTGTTAGGCGATCCGTTGGTGTTCTCGAGACGAAATTTCGGAGGCGCCTCTTTGATGGTACGGGGTGGTTTTGGAAGCAGAGGAAAGTTGGAGCTTGCCTTCCCATCGTGCTGTATGAACAGTGAGGAATACCAAGGCGTGCTTGAAGATCGCAACCTCTCCTTTTGAGCGGCCACGATGGCAGGAACATGCTGATCAGCAGGACAACGCCGCCGTGCATGTTTCAAATTCTACTAGAAATGGCCTCCAACGCAATGGTATCAAAGTGATTGATTGCCGGCGTGTTCTCCTGACTGACCCATACGCGAACCTCCTGTGGGGAATCTATGGTTCACGAATCTACATGAGTGATGAATCATGGGCGTACAACAGCATTGCGAGACTTGAAGGAGGCAATAAATTGATGGCATGGAAGACACGCACGAACCAAATGCTTTGTCAAGCATCGCAGAGAAGAATGTTCGAAGTAATATTGAACAATGGAGGAAGAACCAACTTCTATTTTCCACGACACATTTGTTTTTTGTCAAGTGTCCACATACTTTTGTTATTAAGAAACTTTTTCAAAACAATGAATAAGTGTTCAGTAGTCACAAGTGATTTATCGAGAAGTGCATCCTATGTTTTCGCTTATGAGGAATTCAACAATAAAGGTCTCATATCGCAAAATTCAAAGGCAATTTTGCAGGACAAAAATTTGAGGTGTCCACATACTTTTGTTACGCACTGTATTTACAATCAGAATTTGGTAGTCTAGTTTAGTTAGTGGATCTGGAACCAAACAATTGTGATACTAGTGTTAAGGATACCAAACCAGTCCAGAGACAATTTTACTTTTTTATTTTTTCGTGATCTACAACGCAAGGAGTACACTGCGAAGCATAATCATAGTTCCACCCATGAATCTCACAAAATCCCGTCTTACACGACGTTTTCAAAAATGCCCCATAAAAATGTGGTAATTACCAATACCAATTCGCATGCCAACACCAAACACTAACTTGAAAAATATTTTTTTTTCGTCAATTTTTCAAAAATGGTCGTTCTGACAATGCAGCAAAATGATAGTTCCACCGAACAAATCGAATAATCCAACAACAGGTGTACAAAATGAATAAATTTTGATCCAGTAATCTATTGGAACTCTATTTCTCCAATTAAGTTGGAAAATACGGTTGCCCATGCTCGATTAGAGATTTTCAATAGGCTTTCGGCCGACTGCACCAATGATTAACTCCCTAAGCTCACGGACATTGTGGAATTGTGCATTACTCTCATGGATCATACGCACCATGAAGCCCCTCACATCCTCGATTGGGTTTTAGTCGGGGCTACTCGCTGGCCAGGGCAAAAGAGCGGTTTGGTGACGACTGAACCACGCTCGAGTGCTTCGACTGTCATGAACTGGTGCATTATCTTGCATGAAAACGGGACTTTCTTGCTGATTTCTACGCCAGAAAGCAAGGAGACGTCGTCGCATGACTTTTAGATAGACGGAAGAAATAATTTTTCCATACGGAAGTTCCGCCCGGAAAAATGAAACTTGTCTTTCCTCAGGTCGTGCCAGCGGAATCGGTTTTCGTCGGAGCCGTCGCAGTTGAATTTTTTCTCATCAGAAAACACGACCGCGAGAAAAAAAAACAAAAAAACAACACAGACAAGCAGTAGGGCACCGCAGCCAAAAGCTAACCTCACTCCAATTAGTTCGGCAACATCTTCGAGCAAAGCCAGTTCGCGGTGGTTTTTTGTTAGAAACAGTGCCTAACTCATATTCCTCCTGTGGTGAACTCAGGAGTTTTTCAAGACACGCCTAACAGTATCCTTCGAGACATTAACCTCCGAAGATGACTTAATTTCCCGACACGACACTGCAGAGTTGGATGCTTTCCTCAGGATACGGCGCTTATTCCGATCGGGCAGCAAAGGAGGATGTCCAGAGCTCTTCTCAACTCAATATCCTGTAGGTTCCTTGACAAAATTGTTGATAGCATGATGAGTGCGGCCCAAATCCCGTGCGATTCGACGGTTCGACAGTTTGAGTCTTCTTTGCGATAATCTGTCCTTTTTCGAGGTCCATTAATGAAGTTCCACTTGCCATAGCCTAGAAAAAGGCAAGAAGTCATAATGATGAGAAGTTTCACCGAACAAAAATGAGATGCAGCCGGGAAAATATGCGGTGGAACTATCATTTTGCTGCATTGTCAGAACGACCATTTTTCGAAAAACTGACGAAAAAAAAATTTTTTCAAGTTAGTGTTTGGTGTTGGCATGCGAATTGGTATTGGTAATTACCACATTTTTGTATGGGGCATTTTTGAAAACGTCGTGTAAGACGGGATTTTGTGAGATTCATGGGTGGAACTATGATTATGCTTCGCAGTGTAGATCACGGTAAAAAAGCTAACAAGGGAACCCCAACAGGTCGATCCGGCCATTTGCAATGAGATGTATGTATATGGACGTGTCTTGAGCCGCTGAATCCAAATCTGCCCTCGGAATTTGCGGAACGATTCTCTGAAGGGAGTTACGGACCATTTAATCTCTGCTCTGTTCGCACAAGTTGAGAACGATAACTGCATGCGGCAAGCGGCCGATGGCGTAGTGGATAGGCGCACTGCTTCAGAGGCACAATGGCGCTTGTTGGATTCCTTGATCTCTCGGAAATTTTTGCTTTTATTCAAAACACTTCATATGAGTCCCTAAAACACTTCTGTTTGGCCAGTTTACCTAGTTCTTTAATTATTTGACATCAGGAGCAAGCAACTCGCCGTTTTCTGTTTCCTTTCATGAAGTTTTATTATGAGGATATCCGTTTATTAAAGCTTGCAGTAAGAAATGAAGATCTTATGGTGAGAGCACATGTGGTATTCCTCCACGAAATGGTGGAAACAAAACAAGCTCTCACAATGAGCACAGCGAATACAAAAGTACGGCACTATTCAACTATTACTACCCCAATTTTCTGGAAACAGGCCGGATTTTTTCTACGGCGGCAGATTTGGCTGAAAGTTGAGTTCTAGGGGTAATTCGACCTCCTGAACACGAATATCACATCCGCTCGGTCTGAAACCACCTAGAGCCCGCGCTACAGGCGCCGGCGCCATATTGGCGTCAAATCGCTGAGAACTAATGCGGTATTCGTGATCAGGACATCAAATAACCCTACTATGCAACTTTACGTCGAATTTGGTGAGAAATGCGGCAGCGCCAAATTGGCGCCAACGCCGTAAAGAGTGCTATATTCGTGATCAGGACACCGAACTACCCCTGTGGGCAAAGTTTCAGCGAAAAAAATTTGAACTTCTTGGGTAGTAATAGTTGAATAGTGCCAGAAGTACTCCCCACACACGGTACAGTTACAGTTCTCCACCAGTTCAGAGAGAAAGCGGT